CAGAATTGCAATTATTTCTTAAGAATTCCTTTACACCTGTCAACTGTTGAACTGCTCACCTAAAGATTTTCTCAAGATCCTGTGTACTTGTCGGATTGAGGGACCACATTAGCAGTCTCCATGCAGTGTTTGGACATGGACAAGAAATCAGTTTGAAGTTATCCGTTCAAGGGCATTAGATAGTGAGTTTCAAGACATCGTATAGGATGATGATAATGATCTTTGAGATGTCTCTTGTCGTGGGATCATTTGTAGTATTTCGTGGCTTTCCTCCTTGCATTTGCTGAATTCCCGTCTAAGCCTCTAATCAGTTAACAACTTTGTTTATATTTTATTTATTTGAATTTGTTATAATATAATTTCTAACAAAAGTAACAAATTTTAACTTATTTTTAATTATTTTTTGTCTCTCTACAATATTTATTTTCTTTTTTAAATCCGACAACATTATGTTTAAATTATCATAAATTATAAAAGTAAAGAACTTATCCAAATGAACAGTTAGTTAAAAAGTAATTTATGTAAAGCATTCTTTTCTGTGTATCGCAGAAATTTCTTTTTTATCTATACATAGATACCTAGATAAGTCAATATGCCTAAAAAAATTGGTCTATTTTTTAATTATTTATGAAAAGTATATCTACATATACTTAAATATATGTTATATATTATAATATAGAAGAATACAGATTTGTATGAGTATTTCAGTGGGAAAGGACACTATAAATATTATTTATTTATTTATTTATTTTCTTACAAATCCATAGAATAAATAAACAAATCAATAAAAAGAAAAGAGAATTATAATTCTAAGATAAAAAGAAAAAAATAGATAAAATTTATTTTTATTATTTTATTTTTTTATGTGAAAGTGGAAAAAAAAATAGTTAACTGATTTTGGTTTTAGACATGTAGTGTTCGAATTATTAATGACTGGTAAGGTCATATTTTAAATTCACTCACTTTGCGGTGTGGTCAATTAATTGAAATTGTTATAGGTTAGTTAATATTTTGATATTTATTTAATGGTTTGAGTAAATAGTAACTATTGTTGCGGGTTGCATAATTGTTCAGTAGCGCAGGCCAAGTCATAATCGATGGCGCAGACTAGATGGACCAAGTCATAATCCAAGTGAGATTCCTCGTAAGACAATTGCTGAAGGAGAGATTGTTGTCGGTAGCATCAATTGTCACGGAGGCCCGGTGGACTGAGTCTAAAATTGAATTGTGGCGCTTGAGTCGTGACTATTAAGTAAAAAAGTTGCGCTCTCACTAATGGTTATAGATTTTGGCTTAGTGGTAAGGGCTCCATCCTATCAACTACTTCAAATAATCATAATTTTTTTTTAAATAAATCTTATTCAACTCTAAAAGTATCTCACTTTTATAGGAATCATGTAATTAAAATTGCTTAAAACAAAAATTATTTAGTAAATAATTCTGATATTTTTTAAATAAATATGAGAATGAGATATTAATTAAAATAATATATTTTATTATAAGAAACGGTTGGGTTGTACTAGTGAAATGATAATAATTTAATACATGGCAGCTTTACAGGCACATAAGGTGAAATAAAAGGTGTGTTTATTTCTTTTGTCCATTGAGCGGTAAGAACATTTTTGGATCTAGTCCTGTCTGTCAACTTCATTTCCCTCTCCATTGTCATCTTTGGTTTGTTTTAGTCAAATATTAGTTACTGTCATTTCTTATAAACGGAGATTCACGGTGATATTCATCACTTCACAGCAAACTAGTTTACTTAAAATATATATCCAAATAATATTAATAAGATCAAACGTCAAACTATTTTTAATAATAAAATATTATTAATACTGTTTTATCATATATTTAGTTATGTACTTGTATAGTTTGTACAACATCTTGCAATATGTTTATTTGTATTTAATTTTTAGATTTTTTTAATAATTTATCTAATAAAAAAATTATCTTTTAATAAAAACAATAAAAATCTCACAATTCTAAATATAAACAAAATTAATATTGGTTATATGTGCATGCCTAGTTTATTATTATATTTTAGTTAACTTTTCCGTTTTCTGAAAATAAGTTTATAATAAATTTCAAAATAATTATATTAAAGAAAAAGTTTACATGTCTATTCAACTTTTACTCCAATTCATTTCTAAAAATACTTAACTTGCATTAAACTCCTGTGGGTTTTGTGATAACTCCTAAAACGCAGCATTAGATTGCAATACGCGTGCTTTGCTGAATATTTTCAGATCCTCCAAAACAAACTTCCTCATATTCCACTCGCAGCTGCTTCATCTTGACTTTGAACAAGTCTAGAATAAACAACTTTTTAACAAAATAAATATTCTCTTTGTTCTAGAAGTACCTGTTCATTTAGCAAAACATTTTTGGGCCTACGTGATCTGATAATGGGCCCTTTTGCAACAACTCTTTTAGGCTCGTTCTCTCCTTTCTAATTTTTTTTTATTGTTTTCTTATTTATTTAAAAAGATAATAATATTCTTGTTAGTTATATAAAATTAGTAATCTTAAAATATATTTTGAAATATTTCAAATTAAAAAATCTAAAAAAATCAGATAAATAAATTTAAAAATATGTAATCTTTTAAGTTTCGCATCGTGAAATTTGAAACATAATCTTTTAGAAATATCAATCTAAAAAGTTCCAAGAAAGATAAATTAAGATATAATCTCTTCTAGAACATAACTTCTTTATCGTGGAAAGGTTAATCAGAATATTCTCAGAAAATATTTTCGGAGAACTAATTCTTGAACATTCATATAAAGTTTCCATTCATATCAATCCAGAATATTTTTGAAAAACTTTTAAAAGACAATATTGTCTTTGTAGATGAATATGATATACAGGAACAATATAGCCCACACTTTTGAAAGAATAAATAATGAAGAAAAAAATAATTAGCTTTTAAAATAATAAATAAATAAAAATTAAATAATTATATTATTATAAAATTATTCATATATTTATTTAGACATAAATAAGAGGAATAATTTTAAAAATATTATTTTTTAAATGTTTTTCACTATTATATTCTCAGAAAAAAATATAAATAATATATTTCTTTCATCATTTTTATTATCGTTTAAAACAAATATTAATTTTTTTATTAATAATTTTTATGTTAATTAAAATCAACGTATTAATTATATATGATATGCAATTAGTATAACGTGTATTTTTATAAGAAATAGTATTAATGTCCTATTCATCCGATATAAGAAATAGTATATAAATAAACTTTCTTAACCCACTTTATTTTTGGAAACAAATTTATTAAAGTTTACAACAGTAATACCAGTGTGTCAAGTTATATTATTTCTGACATGTACATTCATACTCGATGGAATTGAAGAAGTGAAAATAAAAATAAAAATTAAAAATAAAATTAAAGATGTTTGTATTAAAAAAAGATAATAAGATATAAAAAAATTGTGAATAATTTGATTAATACAAATAATAGAAAATTTTAAAAATAACTAAATTATCTTTAAATTAAATTGTTATTATTTATATAATAATAATAATTATCATTATTATTATTATTGTCATGTATTTTAATATTATTTTTTAGTTATTATTATTATTATTATTATTATTATTATTATTATTATTATAAATGATATAGATAATTCATAATAAATAAAATAAATATTCATGAATTTTTCAATTTTCTATCTTGTTATTATACAAAGTTTCAACGCTCTCCTTAAACCGTATTTCTCAGATATGGAACTGTCTGGAAGGGACGCAATTTCCGAAAGTATAGCCGCCGTGTATTGTCTATTTTTTCAAACTTTACTTCTATTCACGGAAAACCCACAATCTTCATAATTTACCAGAGACGCAGTGGCATAATCATTAAATTTATTAAATAATTCACGTTTTCAGAGAATGACCATTGACCATGGATAAAGTCTAAAATTTTGATTTATACAATTAAAGTGTAAGGAAAAATAAATAATTTTTAATGAGGTAAGTGAATAAAGATAAAAGTAGTAAGTAAAAGAGTAAAAGAAATATTGAAAAATAAAAAGAAAAATCACGAAGAAAGAAGAATATTTAAAAATAAAAGGGGAATTTAGTTGGCCTTTATTTAAAAAAGAAGAAGAAAATGTAACCCAAAAGAAACGTGAGAAAATGACCACACACTAATATGTTATATGTACCTTATATTTAAACTATGGTCCTGCATAGGATGCCAAAACGAAGACGCAGTCCCAGACACCTAATCCTTCTATTAAACTGGTGCGGGTTTTTGTCTAATCTAATTTATAATCAATCATACATCAAAAGAAGATAACTGGGAAGCCATGTTTCAAAGCCAACACGCACATAAAGAACGTGAGAACCCGTAAACAAAATGTTATTCTCATCAGAGTGCCACCAAACCATTTTTCCAAGTCATTAACTGAAGACGACATACAATTTAATGGTTTAAAGTGGCAAATCTACCCAAACATTGACAAACTCAATAACGAATGGGACTAGCCACTTCCGTTGAAAAATATGATAATCGTTTATGACTTCCGGATGTCACGCTTTCTTTTGCTCACACTTTCGTTTCTAAAATTAAATTATTATTTTGATGAGGGTAAGTTATCAACCTTGTCCGTGATTCAATAATCAAACCCAATTTTGGCACACCCAACAAAAGTGGATAGCGAAAGGCGTCACAACTTTGTTCATCGCTGAAATATTTATGTATATCTCCCATTCCAATTTCCAAATATATTACGCAACGGTGTTTATTGTCAAAGAATGCGCAAATGTTGTGTTTATTAGCGTATTCAGACCGTCACGCTATCAATTTTACTCATCAGTGATGATACAACAAGAAAGAAAAAGAAGAAACATAACTGTAACGAGAAAGCGAACTTTATTGTCACCGTAACAAAAAAATAAAAAACTGAATCCATGAAACACAATGAAAGAGCGATAATGATCGCGAGTTACAAATAGTCCTAACTCTAATCTCATGTTTCTAATAGAAGAAAGCCGCGGCAAGTGAAAGAAGGGTGGCAGAAACTCCAACAACTCCGAGAGGTGCAGCACCAGAGTTCTGTGGGGGAGGGGCGCCTGCGGGAGAAGGGGTAGAAGGGTTGGTGGTGGGAGAAGAGGGGGAAGGAGGGGTGGCGCCGGGGGAAGGCGAGGTGCCGCTGCCGGTGACATTGATGGCTAGCTTTTGACCTCCAGAACAGTGCCCTGGAATTCCACAAATGAAGTAGTGAGCACCGGATTGGGTAAGGGTCACTCTCGCTGGTGGAGTGGTGTAAGTTTTAAGAGGAGAGGTTGAGTTGCAAGAATCGAAGTTCGCCTTTGTCACTTCCTCTACGTTGTGTGCGTTAGATTGGTAGTTGAACACTGCAAAACATAAACAATAGAAGCTTTCTCGTTAAGTTCAACTGAATTGAATCTTCAGCCAATACAATCTCTTAAAAATCTGGTGCGGGACTTTAAGATGTGCGAGTGTTTAATTTAATGATGGATGGTTACTTACCTAGGATGTCTCCAATGTTGAAGGTCTTGCCAGAGGCCCAGGATGTGTATGCTGCAGCACCATTACTAGGAACGGTCCAGCCTAAGTTGTCTCCAACATTGAAAGTAACTGGTCCAGTGGATGGGCCTGGAGCAGGGGCTGGCACAGTGCTTCGTGGAGGAGTGGGGTTGCTTGGTGCTGGTGCTGGTGCTTGTGTTGGTGTGGGGACAGGGCTAGCATTTGGTGGAGAACCACTTCTACTTGGTTGAGGGGCAGGGGAAGGAGTGGCAGAAGCTCTGTTAACAACGTTAACGGACAACTTCTGACCAAGGGAACAGTGTGTTCCAATGGTGCAAATGTAATATTGTTCCCCTGTCTCGTTCAGTGGCACGCTCGCTGGACCGGAGGTAAGGGTGAAAAGGGCGCTCGCACCATTGCATGCGTCAAAATCTGATTTCGTCACCTTGGCCACATCGTGTCGGCCGCTCGTGAAGTTAAACACTACAAAAGTCATCAAAAAAATTAAGTTGTAACCCACAACACAAATATGTATAAATTTGTAATTTTCATAATATAAGAATAAAGCAACAAATAGAAAGATTTGGGAGATTAACGTACCAAGAGTGTCACCTACGACAAAGGTTTTGTTGGAAGCCCAGGTGGTGTAGGCCGCAGCACCATTGGAAGGGATGGTCCAGCCGATAGAATCACCCACCACGTGTCTGGTCTGTGCAGCAGAACCATGAAGCAGGGTGGCTACCGCAAACAGCATAATAAACATGTTTCTTGCCATGGCCATGTGTTCTCGGAGGTAAGTCGCCCCTGTTTGTTTCTAGGACTAGATCTCTGTTCTGCTTTTCTTCCTTCGTTCTCCTACTGATAAATGTAGTTGTGATGTGGAATGCCAATGCTTTTCCTTGGTATTTATAGGGTTAGGGCAAATAAGTCGTTAGTGCGATGACGCGTAGAATTCTTTTAAAAGATTATTTAAGATAAAAGTATATTATTTATTTAAACAAATAAATAGATTAATTCATTTTGAAAAGATAACTGTTTAAATCTATTGATAAGATATACATATATTTTTTTAAAAGATAAGAATTTAGTTTTTTATAACTTTTTTTAACGGAAACAGTTAATTAAAGAGTAAAGATAAATGATTACGGTAGAGTAGTTAAGTAATTAGGGTAAATAAATTTATTTGGTTGGATTCCTGAAAAAGTGGTGTACAAAATTGAAGTGTATTGGGCGGTGGAGGTGGATGTAATTGGTTAGGTCAACAAAATTAGTGTGCTGTGGCGAAGTTGGAGCCTGCCGAGATTTGAGACTTGGAAAAAAACGTCGATGATATAGCCGCGTGAGCTAAGATCTCACCAAATCAATTTGACTTGTACCGTTTACTAGTCTCCGGTCCCTTGTTTTTACACGAGCCATGAACGTGGAGTCAATATTTTATTCTACCTCACCATTTTTTTATATATTTTTGGTTCTTCGTTGCTATGAAATTGTAAAATTGGGTGGTGAAGTGATGGCAAGAAAGGGCACAAAGAAAAAAGCATAAGGTTGTGGCCCACATGCGTAAGAAAGAGGACAAAAAAGGATGCCGGAGAAGTTGGATGGAAAATTCCAAGATCGGAGTTTCCACTTTCAATGGAGAAGTAACGGCAGATTAAGGTTAGATTTTGTGATTGAATCATATACGTCTCTTTATACAAATCTGAATGTTGATCAAATCTAATTAAATTGTGATGCAACAAGAATAAGTAGAGTTACTAATTACAACATCTGTAAGAAAATGATTCCTAATATTGTAACTTTATTTCATATATTTCCTGAACTTTTCATTTTCAACGTTTTAATTATTACTTATTATTATTTTAGTCGCTACAACTATTTTTAACATTTTAATTAAATCATATCAAAGTACAATATATAGACAAATTTCAGTACTGAAATGATTTTAAATAATTAAGTTTAAAATCTGAAATAAAATCAACTTTTAAAGTTAAGAACTAATATTAACTAAATCCTGAAATTAGAAACTAAAAATATAGTAAACGTGTCAAATCCAATATTTTCTAACTATATAGGAAGTGATAGTCAGAACTTTTTATTATTATTTTAATACTAATAATTTAGATAAATATTGTTTGGCAACCTTCCTTTCTATAAACAACCCATTAAAATATTTTTTTTAATTATAAATTCATTTATTATATATTATATTAATATAACATGATTGATTAAAAAAATATATTTATCGCTTATGCTATGTTTTGAGAAGATAATTAATTAGTAATTATTATAAAAAACACTAGTTTGACTGTGTAAGTAATATATGGGAAACATTTTTTAGTTTCATGTAACATTTTTTAATTTTTATATTAATATTTATTAATTTTGTATTTTAGTTTGTTTAACATATCAACATACTGAAAGTATAATATTTACTTAAGTATTCTTTAAGCAAACATTTTTAGATATTACAAAATTATGATAATTGAAATTAAAAATATAATCAAAATAATTTATTTAAAAATGTTATTAATTTAAAATTAATAAAAATCAATAAACAAATTTAAATAGTATATTTATTAGTAAAATAAGATCAAATATAAATATTAATTTGAACGTTCAATTTTATCCCTTTATTTATTATTTATTTCACTATATAATTATATCAAATACTTTATAATTCAATAAATGAATTTAATAATATTCAGCTATAGATTAGTTTTTTATTTTCTGTTATGATTTTTAACATGTTTGGATAAATTTATTTAAAAAGTATAAATAAAAAATAGAAATTATTTTAAAAATTTAAAATTTCTGATTCAATAAAAGAGATTTTTGTTAATCCAAAAATATGAAAATTTAGATAAAATGAATTAAAAAAAAAACACTTTTTAGTAAACACTTTTTTTTAAGTAAAAAAGATTTAAATTGTGAGAACATTATACAAATTTAAATAATGTTATTTAATTGAAAAAAATATAAACAAGGATAATTTGTTGTCTTTTTTCTTTTTGGTGATATAAAAAATGAAAAGAAAAAATATTTATCTAAAAGGTATACCGAAGTTGATGCGTCAATACTATAAAAGAATTTTATTTTATTATTTTTATCACCAAAGAAAAGGGGAAGGAATGACCTAGCAATTGTGCACACGAGGGAAGACTCTTGCGTCATTCTGACCTGAAGGATCAAATCAAGCATTGATTCCTACCTTCATTTTAACTTTTGATACAAGTAATTATTAATTATTGCTTTGAACTCAGAATGAAATAGTTTAAATATTACTCGAGATTAATTTTTGGGCGAAATAATTTTAATTATTATTTTTTTAAATTAATGGTACGTTATAGAAAGAAAGGGAAATGACAGAACAAAAATGATTTTATTTATAAAAAAATCGAGTTTATGTTCGATAGAAAAAAAATAGTGGTAGTAATTTGATTAAGAGAGTAATGAACTAATTTTGATTTAAATTGGAATTAAAAAATAAAATATATTTATATAAAAATAATATATTTAAAAAATTAATCGATACAAAAAATTTGTTACATATAAAGATTAAATTATATATTTTAGGAGGAGGAGAGTGCAAATTTAAATTATTGGAACCACTCACATCCTACCATGACAAATTACATGGAACCTTCTCTTCACATTAATTTTCTGTTCATAAGTCGTAACAAACTTAAAAGTAAAAATATGAGAGAGTATATTTTTATTTTATTTTATGGTAGTTTACAAATCTCGCCAACTCGGAGCGTATACTTTCTGAACATGACAAGTTCACACGTTCCATATTATACACTATACTCAATTGTTAAAAGGAAACCTCAACTTAAAATTTTAATTAGCAGAAAAACATTGGTGGAACAGTATTTTGTACACAATAAAAGTAACTGAACCGGTAAAACCCGCAATAGAATAATTGTTTATTCAACCACAATCATCTCAATCAAGTTCATCAATGTAGCTGGAAAATCAATGGAACAATATTTTTCGAATATCATACAAAATAACCATTAACACACCACCAACGAAAGTCCCTCATAGGCAGATATAACAAGCCAAAATTTTGGAAACCCAAGATGCTGAATGAAATTGATGTACACTACAATTAGAGCATATGATGATAGGAGGAATTCTCCAATATTCTCTTTCTCAAACATTCTCTTTAATTTAATGAAGTTCATGTGAATCATATTGAATTTGCATGTCTCATTCTTAGGTTAACAAACATTCACATGAACTTCAATAGAAAAAAGAAAATTATGTTAGAAAAAGAGAGTATTAGATAATATAAAATGTTGCTGCTGCTACCCCACTTAGTGTCCTAAAATTGAGACAGAAAATTGATGACAATGGTGATGATGAATAGAGAGTAGGTAGCAGCCAGAGGTGTGGCTGAGCCCTGTGGTGGAGGGGCTATAGCAGCTGAATCAGTTTGGGGTGACGGGGTTATTTCAGAGGAACCTGAACTAGGAACTGAACCAGATGCGGGGGGAGAAGAAGATGAAGGACCTTCAACTGGAGCATTGTTTGATGCAGGGGAAGTTGAAGGACCTTGAGTTGGAGCTTTCTGTGGTGCTGGTGAAGAAGAGTCAGTGACTTTAATGCTTAGCTTTTGGCCACTGCTGCAATGGCCTGAGAAGGGGCAGGAAAAGTAGAATTCTCCTGGGCTTGTGAGGGTGACTCTAGCTGGTCCTGTATTGAAGGATTTGATAATGTTTCCGAAATTACACTTTTCATAGCTAGCCTTGGTAAGTTCCACCACACTGTGGCTTCCAGATTCGAAGTTGAACACTGCAAAAGAAGGGTTCCATCACAAAAATAAAATGTTTAGCTTCAATGCTTCACGATCATGTTATAATAGCGTAGTATTACACAATAGAAATTTTTGGTTTTCACTTTCTTAATTGAAAGAGCGACAAGGTTTCTTGTAGTATATGTAGATACTTACCCAGAGTGTCATTTACTTTGAATGTAAAATTTGAAGCCCATTTGGAATAAAAAGAAGCACCGCTAGGAGGAAAACTAAGCCAACCTATGGTACTCCCCACCTCGTAATCTTCAGCTTTTGTGGTCTTTAGTAGCACTCCAGCCATAATGATTACTACAAGAATTGTCACATTCCTTATTTGAGCCATCATATTTTGTTTGTTTTGTGTATCAGGTCGTCCCTGCTTGATGGCTCTTTCTGTGTATTCACTCCGTTGTGTTGATTATGGAATATATAGAAGGCAGGCTGATCCATGATAAGCATTGTTTATAGAAGAGATCGAAGAAACCTTTTCATAGCTGGATTCTCATCTAATCACACACTTGGTCACCGTTTGACTGAATCTTTTTATATTTCTATACAAAGTTGTTGGGTTGTAAATAACCATTTATACATGTGGAGAACTCAGCAACATGTCTCTGAATTACACTGGTTATGATAAAATCCATCTAAATCACGATTAACTAATTAAAATTTGTGGAAGCATTGATCGGCCAGCTTAAAAGTGTCTACTTCTTTACTCTTTCAATAACACCATCACTAACTATTTAAAATTAGTTGAAGTAAGTTGGCCATTTGCCAAGTCAACAATCCAATGAAATACTTTTTCTCTCATGATTATAGTTTCCTTATTATATATTTTCAATCAAATTTTATTTTTCTAATAATGATCTGTCAATACGTATAGAAATCTGGATTTTAAATTTCTAAGCCATATCACACTCATTCCCTTCAATTTTTAAACTACATTGTTGCGATTCATGGCCAAAGTCTTCATAGTTAATTGACATGAGCTAGCAACCAGCTAGCTTCCAGAATTTATTATAAAGTAGATTGTTTGTATTCACACCAACTAAATAACTGATTTCAACCATGTAAACTGGCATAGTCGAGTTAATAAAATAAATGTTACTGTTGTTTAATCAACCTTTAAGTGAATCATGGTCTACAAGAATTAATGTAATAATTTTTTTTTGTATTGATATTGTCAAACTCAACCCAAGTGAGAGCCCTCACCAGATCGCTCTTCTTAGCAGATTTGACCCATATATGGACTGGGTCTTGTGTCAACCAAATACCAGCCTGAACCACCTCTTGTTCAACCTTAATTTTCTTATGCAGCAATTTTTATATTTATCTTACATATGTTTTACTCTTTTTCTTATCGTATTAATTATCAAGTTTAGTTTTTTTTTCTATTTTCTTTTTATCTCTCTGACACTCACAGACTTATTTTTAATTTAAATCTAGCAAAATATTTATTAGTTGTTAATTAATTCTTTTTTATCTATTAAAACTACTTCCTGAAATTGATTCAAAATTATAAATTTGAAATTATCCATTACCAGTTTATTAAAGTAACTTTCATAAATATTTTTAATTTATATTTTACCTAGAATACTGCATAGAACAATTTATTAATTGAGATACGTTACTGTGGTTTTTTCAATATTGCTTGATTGTTAGATAAATTACTTGCTAGAATGGCTCTATACAGGAGGAATATCATTTAGGATATATATGAGTCTTATGTAACTTGAAAAGTGAGGACACGTGTCACTTGTTTTTCACATTAAATTAAATGAATCGGAGGTTGTTATAGCTACAAAGAAATAACATAGTCTTTGAAGTAGGTTCAGATTGATTCCATCAAATCTCTTTCTTGGATTTGGTATCAAAGGTAAAATATGGTATTTTTTTCCCCCAAATAAAGAATATATTAAAATAAAAATTACAAGTAGTAATTTATTAGAGTTATATTCAAAAGAAAATAATAATAAATTAACAATTCTTTTTTTTTAATTATTTTAATGTTGTACAGTAATAATAGAAAAATATTTCATTCTTCCTTGTCAAATATATTTGTGATGACTAAAAAAGAAATCTTAATTTTACACTTAATCAACTTTGTTTGTTCATGTTTCAAAGGAATTGAGAATACTTCAATTTTGGAACTTGCGCATTTGTTTAACTTTTTTTTTATTCCTAAATCTTTAAGAATCCTCCTGTATGTGTTCCTCCTTGCTCCTTATTATGCAGTGAATTTTTTTACTTTTGTTTAATTAAAAAAAAAAGTCCATTTTGCATAAAACTATATATAACATATATCATTATGCAGTAAATATACAACACTGAATTAATAAAAAAACTAATATTAAATTTTCCTCAATCTATCATCATAACACATTCCAAAATAATCTACCTTATCTTCAGGTATCCTATAATAGTTGCAAGAATACATTCAACTTTTAACATCATTCTTTTCATATGTTAATATATCATATTTACATGCATTATAAAAAAAATGGTGATCTTAACCACCAAATTCATGATACTAATCACTAAATTAATTTTCTTTACCAAATAGCATCCTTGGTTTACGTTTCTTTATCTTTAACAGAAACATAATCCTTGATTTGTACTCCATAACACACAATAAAAATGAAGATATTTATTTTTCATTTCCATCTAAATCCAAGCCATATATTTAATCACATCATCTTCCTCTAAATCTTCACCTTTAAAAATCATTCTATTTTTTTGTTCCATATAGACCAAATGATTGTATACCGTATAACATTATCTTTCTTTTTTCTTCCTATACTAGAATCTCATGCCATGTTGCTAAAAGTACGAAGAAACATTATTAGGGAAAAGTCTTCCTATCCAATAAAAAATAACAAGTTTTCCATATATCATCCACTTTTTTTACATGTCAAAAATACACAATCATTAATTCCTTAATTTTTATTCAAAAAAGACAAAATGAATAATTATATTCTTTTTCTTAAGATTTAGGTTCCCAGTGGCTTTTAACATCGTTTAGAACCGATGTAGAAAGTCTAATAGTTTTATTTATGTAGAAAGTCTAATAGTTTAATTTATTTAACTTATTTATTCATAACCCTCGTTAATTATCCTATTTATCTAGAAGTCCCCTCTCCCTTTTATATTATATTTTTTAGGAATTTGAATTATTATCGGATTAGGAATTGAACCCAAGTACCTTAGAGTTGAAGACTAATACTCCAACCACTAAGCTACTAGGATTTTTTTATAATAATTTATACATAAATTATATTTATATACAAATAAAAATGTATATCCATGTAAATATATAAATATAAAATATATAAATACAAATACAAATATATTTATATATTTATATGTTGGATGTGAGGGCGCGCTCAAGGGTGAAAGTGTGTGTCGAGTAAATTTTCAAAATTTGATGCCAAATTTGTGAGCGGGTCTCTTTATATGGATTTATAATTTAATGACAAAATATAACCTTTATAATTTATTTATATAAGGATATAAAATAATTTTTTTCTTTATTTTATATCATTATATAAATTAATTATAAAGATTATATTCTATATCATTATAAATAAATTATAAAGATTATATTCTATCATTAAATTACAAATTCATACAAAGAGGCTCACTCACAAATTTGGTATCAAATTTTGAAAACCCACTTGACACACACTTTCACCCTCGAGCGCGCTCTCACATCCAACACATAAATATATACATATATTTGTATTTGTATTTATATATTTACATGAATATACATTTTTATTTGTATATATATATATATATATATATATATTTATAAGTTACTATCGGAAAATCCTAGTAGTTTAGTGATTGAGGTATCAGTCTTCAATTCTAAGGTACTGAATTCGAATCTTGCCAGTAACAATTCTCTTAATTTGATAAAAAAACTTTCTACATCGGTTCATCTGTGAAACAATTTCTTAATTTGATAAAAAAAAATTCTACATCGGGTCATCTGGGAACCAATGTGAAAATACCGATGTTAAAAGTGATTTCTGTATTAGTGATGATATACTTTCTCAGTACACTGCCATTCATCTATTTTGCCTTTACTTAATTGAACATTTGTTAGGTCACTATTTAGGTTATTCATTAAATCCTCTTTCCAAGCAAATCAATTTTTATATATTCAAAGTTCTATTCCCATTTATTTTGTATCCAAAATCCCATGTTTGTAAGTAACTCATATTTTATATCTAAATTAATGAAAAGCCTTAGCCAAAACATTCTTCTCTTTCCATTTATCAAATAAAAAGTTGATATTACTTTCATCTCTTGTTTTCCATGTTACCATTTTCCAAATCCTGATTTTCATCACCACATACTTTTATACATGACATTAATGCCCCTCAATCATATATAGAAGCACATTTCCCTTTTTAGATACCTTCAATCACCATATTTTGTTTCTAAAATTGAGTATCATATAGTGAAAAATATTTCCCATCCATTTATTTGATCAACATTTCCATATCTTTCACCCGCAAATCTCCATAACTCTTTATCCTAACTCAGACTATCCTCCTTTAGCATCACTACTCCCCACAAAAATCTTGATTAGATATTTTTTATCTTTCTCGTCAGTCAACTTAGAAATTAAAAAAATTACATGAAAAATATAAAATAAAAACAAATACACATGATTAACTTTTTCTTAAATTTCTCAATAATGAATTTCCCCGTCTCCCTTGATATTAACCACATGCCTTATTTTTATTACTATACTAACTCTAATTTTTTGTCTAATCTAGTGTTGATATTTTGAATAACCTATATTTATATACTACTAGCTACCGCACCATAAGTCACTGAGATATAGAGACGATAAAATATATTAGGTTAATAAATTTAGAATAAATACATCTATTAGAAGTAGACTTATATTTAATATCATAATTTAAAATCCACTTACCACTTGTATATTAGGTAAATTTGTTGGTTTTTTTTATCGAAAGGGTTAAAAAAACTTTGATTTTATTAAAAAGGTAGAAAATTTAAAATTTTCTTAAAATGAGTTAAACCATACTAGGTGGAATGAAGTTGGAGGGATGAAATCATGTATGATTGGTGTCACGACTTCATGTAAATATCACCAAAACTAGTATGAATTTAGTTCTTAGTTGACAATTGCAAGATCATGTCACTTTGCATGTGTTTAGAGTCAAAATCACTATACGATTTCAATATATTTGCATCATTTATCATAAAATCCAACTTGAAGAGCAGCATCAAGAATATTGTGTGGTTGAACCTTCAATTAGACATTCATTAGACGGTTGATTTATTGCATAAGAAAATAGTTTGCTCTACCTATAAATACACATTATTCAATGCTTATAATCACTCTCATCCTCATTTATTAGTATTCTCTACTTGTTGCATTATTATTATGATATTTTTCGTATTTTCAGTATTATATTTGTTCTCTTTATTTCTTTGCTATAACAATATTATAAAAAATGTTTGGTAAAATATGTTATTTCAATACTACAACAACTGAAATGTTCTAATCTTGTTTTTGCGTTATCAATTTTTTTTTGTTTTCATATTGTTCCAATTTCATAGGAAAAATAAAAATAAAAAAACTCGTACTATCAAATACACGTAAAAAAATAGAAAGATAATTTTAGTTAAAAGTATATTTCCAAATATGATATTACCCTCAAAATAGCCCTTTCTAACATGATTTAACTTTTGAGAAAATTTCAAATTTTAGACGGCCTTTGTTAAAATCTTAATTTTTCTGCTTCGATAAAAAAGCCAAATTTGTTATATCGTGGTGTAAAATAGAGATAAAATAGTATTTTACTATCATTTACAGGGCCAACGGCTATGCATGCATTCGTCGGCCTGTAGTAGCCCACATGTGATAGGAACACATATTTTGTTGTTGTACAAAAATGCCAAATTAAATGCATTTAATTGGTTGAATGATTTGTGGTTGTGGATTACAAAAAAATGCCTAGAGATAGGGAAGGGAAGGCTATTGGTTCTGGCTCCTTCACCTGTCAGCGCTACAATCCACAAAAATTCAACATTTTCTTTCATTCATGAGCAACTCTCACACTACAACACAAATCCAGTTCTTGTCCATTGGAAAATGAAACGTACCAATCTATTGCAACAACATGGCAATATTATGTAACAAATACAAATAGACAGACAGAAAGACAGACCACATACGCAGGAATAACCGCTTTTACAAGATATTATTAATAATAATAATAATGAAGCAAGAGATTTGTGGCAATTGCCATGAGAAGAACAGGGACAGGGACAGTGACAGCGAGGAGCGTGGGTGCACGCGAGTGAGGGGGAGCTGGAGATGGAGCTTCCGATGGTGCAAGGGAAGAGGAACCTCCAGCGGTGACATGAACGCTGAGCTTTTGGCCGCTGCTGCAGTGAGTCGGGAAGGTGCACGCGAAGTAGAAGTCGCCGGTGCGGTTGAGAGTGATTATCGCTGGCGATGTGCTGAATGATTCCATTATCTCACTCACTTCGCAACTTTCGAAGTGTTTCTTCGACAGCGTGACAACGTTGTGAGCTCCTGTTCTGAACTTGAACACTAAAAGAACAAACAGTTAGTTAGGTAGGTAGATTGACGATTAAAGAAAAAAGAAGTTAGTAATGTCTGAGAGATGTTGTTCACCAAGAGTGTCGTTTACTCTGAATGTGGTACTCGCTGCGAAGGAGGCATAGAAGGAAGGTCCTTGAGGAGGAATAATCCAACCGGAAGTACCACCCACTACATGCTCTGCACCTTCTGTGATATGTGGCAATGCCATTAATGTGGCTGCCACAAGAAGAAAGAGGATTTCCACTTTAGCCATGACGAGTGAGTGTGCCTGTCTCAGGTTGCCCCTGTTTCGTTTCTTCGATGCCTCTTTCCAAGCAAGTCTTCAAATGCGATAATGTTTCCTTGGAATGCAGAGGAAGAGGCTTAGGCTAACTTAACACTCTCTTGCTTTTATACCACAAACATTCAGATTCACTGGACTCATGAGATTACTGCTTTCATGATGAACCAACAACTCAACTCCTGGGATGCAATGTTAGTATTTAATTCTATTGGATTAAATTAGATTTGTATCTTATTTTTAAAGAATAATACAACATTATAAATTATATTTAATACAATGGTTTATAACATAATATTTTAATTCATGACTTTATGCTAAAATAATCAAATAATTCATCCTAATTTATATTTTAAAATGATTATAATATTTTGCATGACACTCTGTTATATGCTTACCAATTTATTTTTTATCTGATTAAAAAAAATTCATAAATATCTATAAAATCAAGATTTTGTTTTTAAAAAAATATATCACTTGTTGGTTTATTCAAAATTAATTCATATTTTTTTTATAAAAAAAGTTGTAATATATATTATTTAAAAATTTATGATTTAATGTCTCTTGCGTCTATAACATTATATGACAGAAACATACACTATAAGTTTAGATATTCTTCTAAATAATTTTATTAGTATCCTTCGAATTTATAATATAAGTAATTAAAGCAAGACAAATTCATAAAAAAATACAAATAAAATTCATATCAATGATATTCCTAATTAAATGATCACAAAACACCATTAACTAAGGACTAATGGTTTAGCATTTCCTAATCATATTTTTTTAACTTTTTCTTTTCAATTAATATTATAATAATAATAATAATAAATAATTTTATAATAATTTATTTAAAATAAGATTGAAAATTTTATTTAACTCTTCAATTCTATTATAATTATTATAACTAAATGGGAGATCATAATAATAAATCTAATATACGAATATTAGGAAACTTTAAAATCAATTTTGTCTATCTTTCAACAAACTAAGTTATCTTATGATTAATCCTTAAAGTTCTTATATATGGGTATGAAATTTCCGATAATCCTTACATAGATGTTTATACACCCCGTCAATTAGAACAATTTTATTAAAATAACTTCACATGATTTTTGTTTTCTTAGACTTGCGTAGAAGTGCAAGAAAAGACATCCGAAAAATCATAGGAAGAGAAGTATAAAATGACGATATTAATGCTTTTGTCGAGTAAAAATAAATAAATAATATATATATATATATATATATATATATATATATATATATTTAAAATACAACAACAGTAAAGAAGAAAATAATAAAAATTTATATGTATGACTTTTCATTCTTTTACACTCATATTTAATATAGTGAGAAATAAAAATATATTATTGTATAAATAGATTCATTAACATTATTTTTTACCTTGAGTTATTAGGTTAAATTGCCGTCTCCATTTTTGGTTTCGTTCTCGTTCTCCTCTAATTTTATATTTTAATTTTAATTTTAAAATATTAATGTTTTAAAAATATTTTTTTATTATATATAATATATATTTTTTATATTTTATTATTTTTTATTTTCTTTTATTATTTTTTATTTTTTTTGTCTTTTTAACCTTTTATATAAATTAATTAATTATATTATTCTCTTCCTCTTATCTTTTAACTTTTCACATTTTCTTAATCTCTTTAATCAATTTATTTATTTTTTCAATCTTTTAAACAAATTTGACAAATAGAAAGTTAATTTTTTTCTTCTTTTTTTAAATATTTTACATAAATAAAAATTAATATTATTTTATTTATAATTTATCTTTATTAAGTTTTGTTATTTCATATTTTTTTATTTTATTATTCTTATTTATCATGCATATATCAAATTTTATCTTAATAAAATAATTATATTTTAATAGATTAAAAAATATTGATAAATTAAACTTTTATTACTCTGAACTAATTAAATAAGAATTTACTTATTAAATATTTTCTTATAAACTATATATTTCATATTTTTAAATTACAACTTAAAAAAGAATTAACTTATTTATATAATCAAATATTTAAATATAATATAATATAATAATAATAATAATAATAATAATGTTATAAGTATTTTATACCTGTATAAAGAAAAAATGATTAAATATTTTTTTACCTACATAATTTAATATAAATATAATAAATTAAAAAATATATTTAATTAATAATAATTACAAATTATAAAATTATAAATATTTATTTATGTATAAAAAATACATAAAAATATTAAAATTAATTTATTATAAGTATAATTAATTTTTAAAATAATGAAATCGGGACAGAGGCAGGGGCAAGGGCGAAGCGAGAAAACCCAAAACTCAGCAGAGACGAAAATGAATACTTAATTTCTAACCTCGACAAGGATTGATGGCGGAGATGATTTTAAAAAGATGGGAGCGGGAGACAAAGATAAGAAAGAGAATAATATAATGAAATGATTGATCTAAGAAATTGAAAAAGATAAAAAAGCGAAAAGTGAGCAGTAAGAAAAGTAAAAAAAGTGAAATATAGAAAAACAACCTTATATATAATGTGAGAAAGAAAATGATTATTTTAAAAATATTAAAATTTTAGGATTTAAATTTAAATATAAAGACGGGGACGGGACAGAGCGGTGATGTGGACGGGACAGGCGAGGTGGGGATGGGTAATAAATCCCTACCCCTGTCCTCAACTTTTTAAAGTGCGAAAGCTCGAACTTACCTCCTCCTCCGATCAACTTGATTTTTTTCGTCAAATTCAGAGCCGAGACGAATTGATCCTCGCATGTATGAGTTTGATTATCATATATATATATATATATATATATATATATATATATATATATATATATATATATATATATATATATATATATATATATATATATATATATATATATATAGAGAGAGAGAGAGAGAGAGAGAGAGAGAGATGTGTGTGTACCATACCTAATGCTTTTCTTATTATGATTAAATAAACAACTATTGGATCATAGTTTGAAATGTACCATGAGTTGTTGAATACTTACAAAGTTAAGAATTCCATATTTGAAGCTTATGTTGTATTGAGGTTTAGGAACAAAGTTTGTATTCTTAATGATGTTGAATTGAAAAAAGATGTGACAACATGACTTTAGAAAGCTAGCATGAACCATAAAAAAATTGGTGATATTATAACATTTAAAGATTTTATAGTAGAAATAGAATAGTATTGCTTGTGAATTTTGTTATTCATTTGTCATTGTCCGCAATAGTATATAAGTTGAAAAAAAAAAGTTTATTATTTTGACATATTAATCTAAAACTTATACGGAGAAGTTTATCAAATTGTACATCATGCAAATAGTAAGACTTAATTATGTATCCTTCAATATTGATAAACTTTATAGGAAGCCCTAGAAACTAAGTTTAGGCTGAACTTAGTTTATCATCTACAAAAAGTAATTAATATGACATAATGATCCAATAATTATAACGATTTGTTGAGAACATATACATTGGATCATTTAGGGAATTGGAATAAAGTTTATACCTATTGAGATATTGGTCTTCTGTTGCATAATTATTAGAATAATGTTGAAGAAAATTTTTAGTGTGCTTTGTGGTTACGGTTAATCTGATTTTTCACATTAGAAAATAAATATTCTTGTTACTGGATGTTATTTGGTGTGATAGTACATGTCTAGGAAAAGTTCTAACAAGGAAAGACTTGATATTTAATCGTGTCCATTAGTGACCCACTTCTTTTTCTTGGGAACTTATCTGGTGTACTGGTTCACGATGTACCATTGTTGTTCTAGTAAGTAATACTATTAATAGTGAGGTTGCATAAGTCAGTTTGGAATCATGACAACAAAATATAAGATGGAGAAGTCCAATGTGAGTAATTTCTCATTGTGGAAATTGAAGGAAGACAATTTTGAGAAAAGATAATTGTGTAAAAGCAATTGGAGAAAGATCGTGGGCATCACAAATCGAAGGTGAGAAGAAATTTACAACAATGTTATAACAAATTTGTGGAGAAGGGTATAATGAAGGGGATTTGAAAGTCCCTTATCAAATTGTATCAAAAGGAAACACATATTGAACTTGGTTTATGTTGATGTGTTGGAATTACAGGTATTATCCCTAGGAGAGCCAAATATTTTGTGTCAGTGATGATAATGATTACTCTAGGAAATTATGGGTGGACCATATCAAGAGAAAGTTTGTGTTTTCAAAGTTCAAGAAAAGCAAATACTTGGTCTATGCTAATAATGTGATGGGATATTTCATGTGAATCCCATTATCCACAAGGTTATTATTAGCAGTGATACAAGAAATGATTGGTGTGCTCCAACCAAAAGACTTACAGAAAAAGGAAAATTAGTTTGCAGGTTTACCAAATCTCTGTACGGTTTAAACCAGTTGTCCAACTATTAGTACATGAAATTTGATTCTTCATGATTAGCCTTGATTACAATAGACTAAGTTCATACTATTTTATCTATTATAATAGATTTGATGAGAATGATTTTATCATTTTGTCATTGTATGTGGATGACATGTTGGTGGTAGGCTTCGACAAAGTTCGAATATAAGTTTCGAAGGCACAATTGACTAGGAAGTCTAATATGAAGAACTAGGGACTAACAAACAAAATTTTAAGGATGCAAATTCACCGGGATATAAAAGATATGAAAGTTTGGCTTTATCATAAGAATACTTATTGAAGGTTTGCACTGCTTCAACATGCAAGGGTGTAAGCCAGTTTTTACCCCATTTTCTATCATGTTATCCTCAAGTATGAGTCCTAGCAATGAAATAGGGAGAATGCAAATTTCTCAAGTATTGTATGCATCAATGGTGGGAAGTCTTATGAATATCATGATCGGTACAAGACCAGACATTGCACAAGTAGTGAGAGTGGTTAGTAGATCAATGAAAAATTGTAGTGGAAAATATGAATATTATCAAAAAAATTCTTATCAAAGGAATCTTGGATGTTGTATTATGTTTTGGAGGATAAAAAATAGTTGTCAAATGCTATGTTTGTTCAAGTTTTGCAGGTGATCTTGATGATTTTACCTTTGTTGGAGAGACAATAACTGGTTATCCAAGTTATAGGATGTTGTAACTCTATTTATCACAGAAGCTGAGTACATGGCAGTCACCCAGACATATAAAGAAGCTATTTGGATTAAGAGGATAATAGAAGAATTCGGACACAAGCAACAACAAATTATTGTGTATTGTGACAGTCAGAGTATCTTACACATTGCAAAAAATCCTACCTCATATTTCAGGATAAAGCAAGAAATACCTAGCAGATGTTATGATAGTCGGTTAACAGTAACAAGTTTACATAGAGGTGCTCCTATTGAAGGTTTATTGCAATAACAACATGGAAGACAATAATAATGTATTGTGAAAATTTGATTAATTTAATCAAAATATTGAAGTGGGAGATTGTGAGAATGTGAGAAGAGAAGTCTCACATCAAGGAAATTATATGTTGGTGCTTACTTTTCCTATAATAAAAAGAGCATCATGTCTATCTTGAAAATCACCCAAAATCTCTTCTTTCTTCTTTCTACTAGTGCATTGCATAGTAGTTGAATTCTCTTATTTATGAGAGAAAATATTATTATTGTTTTCTCCTTAGATTTAAAGAGGGTATTGTAATTTCTTCTCGTAGTAAAATTCTATTATTATCTATTGTCTGTTTTGTTTCTCTTTTCTCATTTATTATTTTAGTTGAGTTCTTATGCAATTATTCTGATTCCTAATAGAGGTATTAGAGTCGATGATTCGTTCACTGGGTCAGTTGAGTATAGTAGGTGAAAATGTGAAAGAGAATCACACTTGAGAGAGATGTTGAGAATTCAAGTGTGAGTTTGAAGTCCCACATTGGGTAGAAATGAGAAAGTTAAGTAACTTATAAAAGTTAAGTAACTTATAAGTGAGAAAGACCCATGACCTAATGTCTTAAGGTTTTGGGTTGAAGGTGGTATCATATTCTCTTATATGGTTGACTCATGACCAATTTGTGACCCTACTGTTAGTCCCCTCAAAAATACCTAACAATGCCTTGGTGAAGTTTACTTATAACAATTGTTATCATATTAGTATTGACATGCATCGTATGAGGCATTATATGAAAGAAAACATTCTGATAGCAATCTACCGAGAAGATTAGTAGATACAAGATAAGTTGAGAGTATCCACGGGTAGTCAAAAGTCTTATGTAAATTAATTGAAGCAACCCTTAGAGTTTGCAACTAGGATCATTCATTTTTTAGAGTAACCAATCATAGGTATAGGAAAACTTATAGGCCAAGAAACTTAACTCCTAAGTTTATTACATTCTACAAAATTCTTAGATATATTGATTTGGTAGCTTACAAGTTAAATTTATAAGTACCTTTAGCTAACCTACTTAATGTTTTTCTTATGTGTCAATTAAAGAAGTATGTACCAAATCGTAATTGCATCATAAAGCTTGTATGCAGGGTTTCCTCAAAAAAGGTTTCCTAAAAAAAAAAATGAATCGCTGTTAATCTAAGTCCTTAGTGTTGTGTTTATTTTTAAGTTAGGCTTCTTAGGAGTAATATACTTCCTTGGGTATCTTTGAGGTGTTTTTTCGAAGAGTTTTATTACATTGAGAAATAAGACAATTTCATATAAGGGAAGATAGATTTAAAATTAGAATAGGAGAGAGAAATTTATGTTAGTGAAATAATATTTTTGCATGTAATGATTTAGTGCAAATGGATGTGTGACTTATGTGGATTGGTGAACTTAAATAATTTGTAAGTTGCAAGTTGTATGGAACTGAATAATTTAATGAAAGTTGTTAATTTTATATGTTGTTTTCATGTATAATTTGCTTAATAAATTTGTTTGCACTTAGCAAATTTGGGACAAGATTGAAACTACATAAAGTTTGCCCATAAATTAAATTTTCACTCTTTGAAATAGGATAAAAATGGAGCTTTAATTATGTATAAATTGTGTCATGTGATACTATGATGGATGTAATTACATTATGAGTGAATTGTTAGACTCATACACTAATAGGATTTCAAGTCTTAATTAGTTGAATACTACACCCATAAATTTGATGGTAATAAATATAGTTAAGATTTTGGTATTTAACTCCTATACTTAGAATGAATAAATGAATTACACTTAAGTTATTTCAAGTTGTCAACTAATAATCATCAAACTTAATTGATACTTAAGGAAACTACATGTCAATTGAACATACATCATGTAATTAGCCCAACAAATTAATAATGATCATTAGACCCCGCTCATGAAGTCTAAGTTGGTTGAACAACATGTTATTTAAAGAACTCATCAAACTAACTCAACTTATGAAGATGCAAGTTAAATTATACAACATATTATATGAAAAACCTAACAAACCATCCTAATTATCAGTCTTGACCAATGGAGCTTAAGTCAACTCAAACATGTTATTTGATGAACCTTGCAAACTATCCTATGGTTATCAGTCTCGACTAATACAAATGAAAGCTTAAGTAAACACATTTAACATGTCAAGTGTCTTATCATCACCATTATCAACTAATACTCATACTCCATTGGATTGATGATTCAACTAGGTTAGCACACATACTCAAAGTTGTTGCCTACATTTTGATTTTCACGAAAGACCAAACTCCATGGATGTTATTCATGCACAAGTAAACTTTTATTATCAGAGTATACTAAAGACAACGATTAAAACAATATGGCTTAGATATTCATGGTAAACCCTAACCTTGTTCACTATCCAATATATAAAAGGTGTCACACACTATGAAAAACCTAAAAAACATGTCAAAAGTTGAATAAGTTTGAGTAGTTTTAGTTTCACATCTCAAATGACTACTTATGCATGAAGATTATAAATAGAGATGTAATCATGCAAAAACAAGAAGAAATTGAGATAAAAGTTATTTATGGGAACAAACACTACAATTTTTTTTATAATATAATATATTTATTCTTAGACTTAAGAGAAAAAACTTTCATTTGTAAATTCTTCACTCCTGAAGCTTATTCTCTTATATGCGGGGAGAGTTGATTACTTGTAATATCTTTCAAACTTTAGTTTGAAACATCTAGAGACACATTGTGTACTAATTCTTTAATACAAGAGGAATTAAAGGATTGTCGAGACCTCCTTTATAGTATTACTACAATAAAGTTTAACTACCATGTTCGGGATGGACTAGTATGATTCCTCAAGAGTATCATTATATACTTTTTGTAAGTCGGGAGTAATAATAATTAATATTTAATTATAAATTAGTTAATTACAGTGAAACCTTTAAACAATTTGTTAGAGAAGAACTTAATGTAACTCAAGTTGAATGAATTTATGTGTTTTTTTTTGTTTACTAGTTTACATTTGAATACTTGTTTTAGAAAAAATAGTTTTGTTGTTTATAAAAACTTAAAAAAAAAATTGACAAGTCATCGTTAAAATATCTAATTAATCTTGCTATCAAATGATAAGTTTGAGTAACCCTTTAATCCATTGTGAATTTTTATGATTTGTGGAATAACATGAGATGAAAATGTTCAAGTGATGGTTTTAAGTTATTAATTACCAAAAGGTAGTAATGTTATGATTGTATGAATATAATGTAAGTATTAGATTATTTAGCCACTTAATGAGATATCCATACTTCATTGATATCTCAAATTACCTGGATAAATCTATTAAGTGGGGAAAAGTGACTTTAGTACATGCATGTCCTTTTGAATGAGTCTTTGTAGAGGAGTGTGTACAAAGAGTTATTCTAATTTCATGTGAGTTGTCATTTAAAATTGAATTTTTTATTTTATTACTAGACCTTGCGCATAAGTTATATGTTTGCCTTAGATGAAAATACTAAATAGTGTCTTCCAAAGGTCAAGTCTTAAATATATTGATGAATATCTTGATATTTTTTTTTACCATATATATATATATATATATATATATATATATATATATATATATATATATAAAATTAAATGAGGAAGGTGTCTTTAGTAAGAAAGGAAGGTCTTTGATATAATTATTGAAAATATTATATTAGTTATTTCCTCCTTATATATAATAAATTGATATGATTTTTTTCAATTATGGTTATCTTAACCTATTTGTTTGTGTTTGTCTTCGAAATTGTGTGTTGACATTGGACGAATGAGAAGAGTTTTGTATATATTATTAATATATTACTAAAGGAAAATGATACTTTGATAACCTAAATCCATAGAACTTCTGTAAACAACTCTGTTTTAATATTATAATAATAGTTTTACTTTATTTTTATTTTTATTAAATCAGTCTATAGAATATTATATTAATAAAAGTAAGTTGTTTGAAGGGTTGTATGGTTTGTGATTGTCAAAATATCATCACTCATTACCAAATTATAGTTTTTAATAAATATTGGTTTGATAGTTATTAAGCATTTTTGCACTTCCATGTTGCAGAAACGATACATATAACGAAATCGATAAATTCGTGTACAAAAACTCGTTAAAGCAACAAACAATTACAGTACCACACTCTAACTTAGTGGACTGAAATAACTCATACAGGACTTCAATTACCCTCTCCCTCCCCTTCGCTTCCCCTTTTGGACCAATTTGCTTCTCTGTTTTTAAATGCTTTGATTAACTAACAAAATTCAGAGTGTATTCTATAAAATTGAAAACTTGGGTCCAAAATTTAGAATGTATTAGTAAAACTGAAAAAAATCTAGATCTCCTCAAAGAAAGGAAAAGCTTTCTGAAGCGAAATAATTACATGGGGACGGAATTTCTAGATACTGCTTTATGAAATATGACAATCAATGGTATAATTTTGATCTATGGTAAGACATGAAGTGGAGCCAGGACAGAATTGGTTTGCTGAGCAGGTTTGTAACATAAGATTTAACTCCACAAAATCAGCAGTATCAAAGAGGATAAAGAGAATACCATCGTGTAGGACCAGGACAAACCTTGAGTATAGATATTCTGCCAAGTGAAATTAAAAGGAATCAGTGAACATCAGACGGAGAGAATTTAAACAATTGCATAATCTGAATACCCAAGTTCATTCAAAACTTCTTCAGCAGCAAAATTAAATTCCTAAGTGTTAGTGCAAATAGTGAGTGCAAACATCTATTGATTAAACCACCTAGCAATTGAGAGTAGCAATCGACCCTTTCCCTGAATCAATCAAATTCACACTGTGAAGGTAATCTAGAGAGGTGAATGCACCCATAACCAATAAAAGAAACAGTTAAGGAATTGTATCCACTTTCCACAAACATTTGGAAGTTGAATTAATAAAGAAAACAGGGCAGCTTCTAAACCAGCCAAAAGCATTTCAATTACCAAAGGTTTGAAACAACCAGCAATCATCATAATAATGTTAAAGACTTAAAGAGTTACATGATATTCCTTGTTCGTTTCACATTAGAGCACAAATAATATTCATAATCTCATTAAATCCATGGAATATGGGTGCTGGTTCCGCAGCTAGTCTATAACTAGAAAGTAGGAAAAGTAGTATCAAGAAAAGAACATTTTCACAATCTCTTTTTTCTTTTGAGTAATTCAAGATAGATAAATGCATATTGAACGTGGATTATTCTTGAATGGTACGATAAAGCCAATCCAATATGAAAAATAATAATAATGAAGTGCAATGCTTAATTCTTGATATGGCCAGTCATCTTTTGTAACGCCAACTTGTGGGTTGAATTTCTCAATATTTTCTTCGTTCTTTTATTATATCATGGTTCAAATACACTTTTGACAATAACATACTTCCAAATCATTATAGTTTCATCATATAGGAACTAGGATGCATCAATTTCGAATAAGTTTCTCTTATAAATGATGGCGTGCAAAAGTTGACATTGATTATGCTAGTGTATACTAATTGGCATTGCATCATCATAGTCATCTAGTAGATTTGTTAGATGTTGTTAAGAAATAATTCTCCCCTCCCCCTCTCCCAATAAACCAGCAGCCCACTTGCCAAAACAATAAAATATAAAGTATAAAGAGAACAGACTACAAAAAATGGGGGAAAATCCTGGTTTCATATTATCTCTATTGTGTGTGAAAACTTCTAAATGAGCTTAGACAAACAAGTAGCATCAAATGAAATTTGTGGTACCTTGAGAGACAAAAGAGATGACTGCCCCGCATTAACTCCATGAAAACCAATGTCATATGATATACTCCCATCAGCCTTAAACAGTCCATAGTTCTTCTCAGATAAATGCCCGGGCTTCTCATTCTCATTGAACAATGCAAAAATGTATGCCTTCACAACATTTTTAGGCCTATGTGGGGTTCCTTTCCTCTTCGCAAGCCTTTTACGCAGGTTATAATTATATGTCCTTGCATTTGTTACATTCGCTCCAGCTTCACTTTGATCTCCATTTGAGGCCCAGCCAGTTTCAGTAACTATAACTTCCATTTTCTGAAATCCAGCATTCTCCAAAGCTGCATAGGCTGCATCAATCTGAGCATCGAGCATGTTATCATAATGCAGACGATATGTTGGATCATAAATTCCCTTTGTAGGTTCAAAAAGTGCATAATTTATATCAATATGTTCAGGGTCACTTGCGTAGGCTAAGAAAGGGTAAGCGTTCAAACAGAATGGAGAGCCAATCTGTTGGAAGAACTCCAGTAGTGGATTCATATACTGACTAACATTATCATTAAATTTACATGAGGAGGGAGGGTAGGAATTCATAAAAACCGCAAATGAGTTTGCAGTAGAAATCTGAACCAGTTGATCCAGATGAAGCTTCTTGGTAGCATTGTAAATATTTTTAACAGCACCCAATAGAACTCCCCATAGCGAAAAGTCGTCCCCACCCAAAACTTCATTGCCTACAGCAATTCCACGAATCCGTGTGTCAGGAAGAAATGACTGTACATTTTCTTTTACCCAGCTCAAAGCATGGTCTGCATTTGAACTCATATTTTGCAGCTGCCCATTGGGAAGCCCCACTACAATTTCAAGCCCAGTTCCACTAAATGCCCGGAGAACACTGTGATCAGCATCATAGATTCTCACGTTCCTTATTTTTGCTGCTCTGAGAAGAGTAACAACTTCATCAGGTGAAGGAATATTATTTGCAATCTTCCCATAATTTATACCATAGGTACCGGTGAACGCTTGCACGAAAGCTGGAAAGCAAACAGGGAGGGTAGAGTTCCATTAACATGATGTTGCCAACATAAAAAGCATACCAGGAACTTCTATAGACCTAACATTAATTGGTCGTCCATGAACAAAATTAGTACTAAGCAGATGCACACGAAAGAACAAAAAGTACTAAACTCAAGAAACCCCAATTGGAAAGGTCATCCATAATCAGAACCACAATTTGATAGAATTCGAATCCTCATGATATGTCCAAGGAACAGTCGTCCCATGTGAAATCAAGATGGAAAGGCACTGATCAATGCAATCATGATGATAACTTGAAAGGAAAGCAATATGTATATTTTAAAAAATTGAAAATTGAAAACTAAATTTAAAATCTCTCTCAAAAGAGTAGGGGAGGGGGTGCATGAAAGAAAAAGATAAAAACTTGATATCATGATAATAAAAAGAAAACAACCAAGACAAGGACCCAAAAATACAAATACAAATAAAAACAAAAACATTATCAAGAACTTGATTTGACATAAGATGAAACTATACCATAAACGCTAAAGGGATGAAAGCACCGACCCATAATCGTGCAAAATCATAAAGATCAATTAAAACTGGAGGAAAGGTGAATAAAGGAAGCAAATGAATCAGATGTTTAAAAAGACTAGATAAAGAAAGCATTGAAGTACCTATTGGAGTGAAGAAGAATACAAAGAAGGGGCAGAAGAAGCGAAAAATTCTCATGGAGTGGGAAAGAAACGAGCGCTGTGGGATTTATTTGGCGATCAAATTGGGAATTGAAAGAGAAACGCGTTGTTGGGGTTGCACGCAGTGCTTCTTCCTCCTGAGACATGCCATAAAACGAAAGAAACACTTTTTAGATACGCTGAGTTGAACTACACCTTCATATCATTACTTGATCTCTCTAAAACCCGAAGGGTATGTGAAGAAAGAAGATGAGGGTAGGGTAGGTAGGGGTCGGTCTTGAAATTTGAAGAGAAGGGAAAATAAAAGGGAAGAAAGGAAGAGAAATAAGAGGGGTTTTATAATTGAGTTGAAGTAAGTGAGTAAGCAAAAGGCAGCAGAGGCAGAAGAAGAGAGGAACAGTGCAGAGTTTGGGTTTGTACTAAACCTCGTCTTCATTGGTCAATGCATTGCACTTGTTCCTCATCGTGCGTTTCTTCTTTTGCGGTCTGCGTTAAGGTATTGTTTTCTTCTTCTTTCTCCACGCGCCCTTCACATCTTTGATTAACACTTATCTAAATAATATACTTTACACTTTGCATAATAATAAAAAATGTCATTATAATTACTAATTATGAATCAAAACATAATAATACATCTATTATAAAATATTCAGCATCTCACATCTCAAATATTTTTTCAAATAAATAAGATAAGATATGCTCGTAAATATTTTTTACACTGTTATTATTAAAAAAATAGAAGAATATTTTACCTTTCATAGGTTTTTCACTCAAGTGGTAATTATTCTTTTTTAAATTACATAAACGGATAAATTTAAAATTTATTACTATGAATAACTAAGTCATGTTTTAAAGTATAAAGAACTCTCATTTGAGAAAACAGTTTTATTTTCTTTCTATAAAAAAATACCATGTTGAATTATAACATTTTATTTATTTATTATATTTAAAATTATGAAGTTGTAATTTTATCCATGATTTTAACAATTTCTTTTTAATATTTTGAAGTTATGATTTGAGGACACCCCTTTAAACTCTTTTTTTTTTTTAAGAAAAAGTTACTGAAATCTCATTTGAAAGTGAAACATCTTCAAAAGGTTTTTCTTTAACAAAAAAATCAAATAGTATATCTTAAGACAACTTCTAATTTTTAATATATTTTATTAAAATATTTTCAATATAAAATCATGTTTTAACATTTTATTTATGAATTAATTATTTTTTTATTTCTATAATTTATTTTAAAAAATTACCCCACTCAAGTACCGTTAATTTCTTTTAAAGGCGCGTGCCACGATGTAAACATATTCTAGTATATTAATTTTATTGATATAATATTTATATCAATTAACTTAATTTTTTAAAATTATAAAATGTTACTTTAATCATTGTTTATATAACAAAGGTCATAAAAAATGACTTGTGTTTAATAGTTTTTATAAATTAAAATACTATTTTTTATAAATTTAAATATTAAATTAATTTACATAAAATTTTAGGACTAGTTGGATACGATGTTCTAAACTTTAAGGTCACTTTCTAATTTATACCCAGTACCACTTTGAGTATGTGAGAAATGTTCTCTTGGAATAATGTGGACACGTTGAAAACATAGAATAGAAAAGTATGGTTTTTACAAAAAGAGAAAAGAACAAAATATTTTTCAACATTTGAAACGATAAGGGCCAGATTTGCCCCTTTATTATTGGAATATATACGAGTTTTAGTAAAATGGTTATTTAATTTGATTCTGAAATTATTTTATCACTATAAAAGTAAGTAGTTTTCTTTTCATAAATATTTATATATATATATCAATATTTTTTACTATTAAAATTTTTTAACAGATAATTATATTTTAAATATATTATATTAAGAGTTACTAATTCAATATTTAACTTATAAAATTATATTAAATAGCACTTATTTAGTTTTAAAATAATAGCAGAAAAGTTTTGATGCAATAACAGGCAAGTTTATTTGTTTAAGTGCGTGTTGTATACATAGGAGGAAAGCGAGTGAATGTAGGTTATACAGTATACACTAAAGGCCTTGTGATAGTGATACATACGCGTCATAACGTCGGCTAGTGTCACTCGCTCGCACTCTGTGTTAACGAAGTAAACTCCGTTCACTGTCTGTAGTCTGTCAGACACTAATCACGTGATCTTCCACATTAACACAGAAGAATCACGTGACCATCCAATTGGTGAATCAATGAATCTCGTCCCTCACCAGATACTCCCTCCACCTTTTCTTCATCAGGGTTTCCATAAATTCCTCTTACTCTTAAAAAAGGAAAACCTTTGAATACAAATTATTATTACTAAAGTTTGTGGCGTAAAATATAATTATTGAGAGCTATTATTACTGTTTCCTTAATTATTTTGTTGTCTGAATCAAATTATGTAGGTTTTATTTTCAGGTTAAGAGATTGTTTCAATAATTATAATTCATAATCACCAAATCTTAAGAGAAAATAAATATATGCCATTTGATGATGATTTGTTAAAGGAAAAAAAATATAAATATATTCAGATCAATTTATTAAGTGGAAATTTACTTCTATTGAATATGAGTAAAGGATACTAATAATCATAAAACAGCATATATATATATATATATATATATATATATATATATATATATATATATATATATATATATATATATATATATAAAGATAGCAGTAAAGATCAATGTATATATTATTTGTTAAAAAAAGTGTCTTTTCAAACTTTTGTTATATATATACTGTGATTTTTAGTTGAAAATAGTGTTTTGATAATTTAATTTAACTTTTTTTCATTTTTATTTTAATCTGATCCGGTTTTAACAATCATGGCAACTTTTGTTTTTGTTTAGTCCTTCAAAAATTCTTTATAAGAAGGTTTCAAGTTATTTTCATGAATTTAGTCCCTATGATGAAAGCTTTCTATCATGTAAGAAATAAAAAATAATAATAAATGCACTAACAGTATTAAAAAAATTATTACTTTTATAAATAAGTTAAAATAGTTAAAAAAATTGTATTTCATGTATGCATACTATATTCTCATAAATACATAACTAATAAAAAAAACTCCATTAAAATAAATTTAATGGAGTTATTTATGATATAAACTTAGCCAGCAAGCCAACTTAGTCATGTACGAGGTTGACTACTTGGGTGGTAATTTTTCATTTTTGGCGTTCACCAACCTTTTTAGAACATAAACAGTGACTAAAAGCATTCTTGGCATTTTTTCCAACTTCCTTTTCAATTATGAGATCATAATGATGAAGATATCAGCGGTGCAACTGATTAAAAAAAAAAAAAGATTACAAAATTAACACCACATTCTTTTCGGTGTCACTGAACCAGTGTTTATTATTTGTATCATGTTGTTCTTTACTTGAGTCAAGTTACATATAAAACAGAATTTAATACTAAGAATTCAGTGAAAGTGGTACTTTTTCCAATGGCCTTTACTCGCATATAGGTTACACGGTAGGAGAGAAAGCATAACGCGATAACTTAAAGTAGAAGCACCCACTCAACACCAACAATTCTTTGATATGCAAGTTTTTTCTTAGCTATTTTGGCTTTTAGTGAAACGTTAAGACTTAAAACTCTAAAATTTCTATCCAAATATATACTATAATAACAAATCACCAGTAGACAATCTATCTACAATATTACTAGATGATCTAATAATAGACAATTTAATTGATAATTTTCCAAAAGTTTTCATACTTCACTTATTATCTAAGGCTTTAACACTCCTCAACAAAGTCTAAAGTAATTTGCACACACCATGATGAATATGAAAGTGTTGTTATAAAATGAACAAGAGAAAGAGGCTTAACAGCGTGTATGTCTCCGCTTTCACTTAATCAGTAAGGACAGTGTCAAAGGACTGTGAAAAAGTGGTGCGATGAAGATAACACAAACAATGAGTTCCTTTAGAGCTGTCCAGGAACTCCATTGTGTGGATTAATAACGCAAAAATGAAGGAAAGTAGCTTTTATGCTCAACGTCTGTTGTCGCCCCACGTAAGAGAATCTGCTTTTTACGTATTCTCCCAATATTGTTGATTTCAGAAAGTGCAAACGATTAGCGAGGCAAACTTTTACGTGTGTGTGTGTGTGTGTGTGTGGGGTAATGCTTTATCTAGAGGGCATGAATGTCCCCATAAAAAATATTTAAAAACAAAATTACCATGAACATCCCTTGTGGGAGTTACTAACTACATAATAATAGATGCTTGAGAATGACGAGCATAGAAAAAGGACTTTCTGCAACATGCCCCAGCTAAGCGTTTGTTCTTGTACGGTTCATTATTGGTTATACTTGATTTTGATGAAGCTTTAAGCTAAATCCTTTTTACAATGGTTTTGTGGACCGAGATGCGAATGGTCACTCATGGTTTAAGGTAATGAATGAATTAATAATTGATGGGCCAAAATTTTGTTCGATGGGACAAGGATGCATACTAACCAACTTTCCATAGTCAATTTGCATCCTTTCACTCACTTGAAATTTGGAAGATACCATGCTATTATTAGTGGTAGTCTATTATGCAGATACTTTTCAATGACCATAATAGCCTTCAGGATCTAAAAAATGACTGGATCTGATTACAGAATCCAACAACCTTATCCTCATCAGTTCCAAATTGCGATGACTACTGCATTTTCATGCCTCAAACACAGGAAAATAAGGAAAAGAAAAAAGTAGTGAGGAAAAAAAGATAAAGAAAAGAAAAAAAAATGGCATTACATTTTCTCCCAACTGCTCACCCCTCCAGTCTTCCATCATCCTCTTTGTCATTAGCAACACAAACATATGTTTACCACCCCATCAGTGGTAGTATGAAAAGGCAATCAACACTTTGTAAAGCAGTTAATCAGCCTGCAATACATCCTCCAATTCTGACCAAAAGAGGCTTATCCATCAGTTTTCTCACCACTTTTGTGTTTTCATTTGCTGGTGAGGGTGCTAATGCTGCAATACTTGAAGCAGATGATGATGAGGAGCTTTTGGAAAAAGTAAAGAGGGACAGAAAAAAGAGACTTGAGAGACAAACTGTGATCAAATCATCCACCAAAGAAACAGGTCTGATCCTGCAAAAATGACATTTTACATTTCCCCTAGATTACATTATCGGGTGAAAGAAAGTGGATGCACTCTCAAATCTTTACCCAAAGATGAACAGTAACTTGCATTATTGGTTTATCCTATTATGTGTTTCCGAAAAACGAAATTCATTTTCATGTCCCTTTCCTTTAACTCATTACTTTATTCACTCTGGAATGCAAATATTGATAAGTGTAGAGTTTGTAAATGATAACAGTAAAGTAGTTGAGCCCAATTCTTGAGGCTATCGAATGAAGAAAAATCTCAAAAGTGCACACCTTGGCATTTGTTTTAATGCAACATTAGTGTAAACAAATTTTACAGAATCATCGAGGTTTGTAGTTATATCTTATTATTTAATGAGGTAACAATATTAACAACTACACGAGGTTCAAACACTTATTAAATGGCATGATAACACCTCATCCTTGTATTAGAATTGAATTCATATTGTATTTAGTTACCATAAATTCACAAATATTAATTGAACCGCTTTTGTTCATAGGAACAACAGAGAATTTTTCAATTGAATTAATAAATTTGAACATATGCAGAGTTAGCTGTGCTGATGTATTTTAGTTGTCTCCCTTAAGCTATTATCGGATGACTGTAAAATTAAAGACCTTTATAGTGTCAATGTATTTTAATTAAATTCTTATTTTTAACTATCTGAAACGGAAAATAACTTTCCTTTTCAATATAAGGTTGTTTTGTTCTCTGCATCTTTAAGCCTTGTTCTAGCTTAGCTAGTATATATAGTTCCAGCTCAGGGAAAAAGTCATCGAATTAAGATTTGAAGAGACCACACTATCTGAGCTCATTTTTCTCCTCCCAAGAGTGAGATAGAACTCGTATTTCTCTTTCAGGATGAACTTCTTCTATTCCTTTGTCCTTGTACTTATGTGCTCATGTTTCATTCATGATACCAAAAACACCAGTTTCTTTTAGGGGTAAAATAAAAGAAAATGTTCAGGGTGCTTTCTTTTTCTCTAAATTCTCAAATTCAGCCAGCATAATTTCCCTCAGTGACTTAGCAACTCAAAATTAAAAAATATTTGCAGGTTATCTTCAGGACCTGGTATATAAACTGAGTGAAGTTGGTAAAGCAATTGAAAACAATGATCTACCTACAGCCGCTTCTGTCTTTGGGAATGGCACTGATGCTGATTGGGTCCAGAAAGCAAATATAGCTTTGAATAAGGTTAGTCTGGTTTCTTAAATGATTGAAGTCATTACGAACACTTACGTATGAAATCTTCCTTCACAAAACGTGTCAGTTATTAATTAGGTTCTATCATACCACTATTATCACAATCACAACATTATTATCACCATACCAGTGTGATCCCTCCAGAAGTCCGCAGTTGCTGTACTTTGCTATGATAGCATCAATCATCTATTTTCTTTGTCAATCACTCAATTTACTGTAGTTTCCTCCCCCCCTTGGTATCTAAAATCTCATATATTAGCTGCATTCGGTCCTGAATTTTCACAATGGTAGAAAACTGGTACCTTCATTATCATTTCAAGTGGTAAAGATTAAAAGCCTGTGAGGTGCACAAATTTCAATACATTACTTGTGCGGGAGATACAATGAAGTTGAACATTGGAACATGCTCTTTGATCTCCATTTAAAAGTTTGAGAATCTTTTTAATGAAGTTTCTATTTATTTATTCAAATGTCTGTTTCCAGCTTCTTAATTGGATATCTGACAGTTTCTTGGTAATCTTTTAATAGCTGAGTGCCAGTCCTGAAGAAAAGACTGAGGTGGACACATTCAATTCCTCCATAGCTTCATTGATTTCATCAGGTATCAACTTTCATGCAAGACACAGAATATGTTCCTGCCCCATATCTTGTCCACCTCTACGTGTCACATTAATGTTGTTGGATATCACCCGTTAAAGGGTGCAATTAATGTGTAAATGCATTATCAAGACTTTTTTTTTGGCACATAAATTTGTGCAAGTAATATATTTTATTCATTTATGACATTTTTTTATTCAGGCTTATGAAGTTATGAGTCAGGGTGCACTAAAAATGGTGGCTACAAGATCCCTTGCCTTAAGCTAACTCTTAATCCTGTTTTTTATTTTGTGGCAGTTGCTAAGAATGACGTTGAGTCCTCCAAACTTGCCTTTGTGTCTTCGGCCAGTGCATTTGAGAAGTGGACCTCTTTGACGGGGCTCATTGTTCAGCTTAAAGGGCTTTGAGGGAAGCGACAGCACATTTGATCTCATCTCAAAATTTGTTAAATACATTAACTTCCCGTCTGGGTCACCTAATTGGTGTCTTGGTGCAGTCTCATTTCGGCATTGTCTATCACCACTAGAAAATACCATACGTTGCTCAAAATATTTGGGCTTGAGTGTGTATAGTCTCACGCAAAATTGCGATTTTGTGTTGTCGAGAATTTAACGTAATGTTTTTTCTTGTTCAACAAACAGCACAAATAAAAGGGATTTTAAGTTGTTGTAACTTGTAAGGAGACCGACATTAAATTGTGGTTTGTGTCAAATAGAGAACCATTCTTTGATTATTATGTTATTCACTGCAGCCGTGTTTACTTTTACCACCACCCTTTCTTTGGCCACTAAAAGAGCAGAAAACAAGCCTAGAGTCGTGAGTAATACTACTCATATTCAAGTCTAATCGTTATTATTCTTTGTTTATCTAACTCACGCAGAAAAAAAGCAGAAAATTTCCCCTAAATTATGTTACACAACTCACGCAGGACTATTGACTTCATAGATACACTCCCATGATGTGTTTGTTTAATAATATAATGATAATATAAATAATAAATACCTCCACAGTAAATTGGACATTCTTACCGCCCGTACAAATGGCAATAAACATACAAGTTACGTAATAAACCTGAGATAATAATTTAGGAGTAAATGAAATATTTGGGTTCACCACCGTACAAGATTACAGGTCCATATCACATACAAGTATCTTACAACACAACTTTACGAAGGGAACTAGAAGCTACACGTCTCTACAATACATAGAAGGATGGTACATTATAGAACTACTCTATAATTGTCTATAGTTTCAATAAACAATCAGATAAATAACATCACAACAAAACTACAGTCATACTCGGACAGATCTAAAGGGGTCAGAGAGAGAGAAGAGAACCCAAGTTTATTATTCCTTATTTAGGTGCTTTCACCTAACCAGTTCAGCTTCCATTCTCGGTCAACTCTGATTCAGCCTTCTTATTAATATCATGAACCTTAAAATGTCCTTCCTCATTCACTTGAGTTCCTTTGTTATGTTCTACCATATTCTCTCCATCCAGTTCAACCTTTTTCTCATTGGTTCCATCATCTTTCTTTGTCCCCTCCAGTGGCTGTCCAATCTTTTCTTCATCATTCACTTGAGATACTTGACTAACTTTATCGTGTTCCCCCTTATTCTCTCCTCCTTCCAATTCAACTTTTTTCTCATCAGTTCCATCATCTTTCTTTGTCTCGTCCAGTTGATGTTCAATCTTTTCTTCATCTTTATTCTGAACAGCTTCAGAGCCCTCGACTACATTGTCCTCAAGTTTCTCTGTTGAGGCATGTAGCTCTGCATCAGCACTCTTGAAATTTTCAACATCCTTAGGTTTATCAGTATTTTCTCCAGGATGAGTGGATTCTTTGCCATCTGTATCCTCTGCTCTCTTGACATCTTGATTTTCCTCCACAACATTTTTTTCCTGCTCTAAATCTTTATCATCCTTAGTTTCACCAGCTTCTTCCATTTGCACTTCTTTTGTTTCCTCCTTTCCTTCATCCTGAGAAGCTTCTTTTCTTGAAGCTGGTGATTTCTTGCCACGTTTCTTTGGGGGCTCATATTCGGGGGGAGGAGTTGTCTTGGCCTTCTCACTGATTCTTGCGGATCTTCTCGGGGTTTCACCAGTGCCCCAATCAAATTCAGACACAGCTGGGCCACCAGGGTGTGCTTTCAAATACTGCTCCAGTTGCTTCCGATTATGGATCTCCTCTCCAGTTGGTGCAGTGAATACAATCTCATTTTTCTTTGGGGTTCCAGACTTTTTCGGAAAGAACTGCAAGCAAATACAAATTATGAATAATATTATATGCTTTAAACACACAACAAATTTACAACTGTAATACATAGAAACCTTAATACATACAAGATTTTTATTTATGTTATTGACTTCTACAAGTAATTCCTAGCATGAAATATTCATATCACAATAACATTACACTGACGTATTTGATACTAATGCAATTAAAACACCACTTATTATTTGAATAGCATATTAAACCCTTGACAAAACTTGATTATGTTTTATTGTTCCCTTTAATTCCAAAAATGTTTTTACAGTTTTAAGCAAATATGTGGCTAGTTAAACATCACAGGCTGTTACAAGCTAGCAGTTTTACTGTTAAAATTTCAGAAAAAGAGTAGCATGGCACCAAATTAACCTTTTCCAGTCAGAAGGCTTTTCTTTCCCTCTTTAATTCTTCCATTCAGGCTATACCTGGGAAAAGTGAAAGTTCATGGAATGGTTTGGAGTAGACGAAAAATGTGAAGCCAATTATCCGAGGCTCATACTGTGACCAAAAAACACAAAAAATGCACACATATGGACTCTGTATGAACCATTATTCAATCTAAACAGCAGTATAGAAAATAAATAGACAACTTCATGCAGCAAAAAGACCCACAGTTTATCTCGGTACATAAGGTGAACAACAACACTCCATACAAAACTTACACAAAATCCTATTTAGTTTTGTATTCTACAAAGACCCTTTTGTAGTTTATTTTTCAGAGGTTGAACGGAGCTTGAGCTCTCAAGATCTCTCCACCTTGTGAGTATTATTAGATCACCCTAAAGATATGCAATAACTTAATATAATTGAAATCATGTATAATAAATGCCAGTATCTCTACAATGATCTAATGGAAGACAACGAGATGGTTCAAACTCTCTATACCCACCTCAGAAAAAACTTCCATGGGGATCATAAGTCTCCTAAAATATTTTTCATGAGGAGATTGCTTAGGTTTTGATGTTTTGTAAACCTCAGGAAATCAGTGCAGTTTACTTCAAGAGATATGATAAAGTCTATTACATGGTGGGTTTCTCTTATGTACAATACGAGGGAGAACAAAGGAGAAAGACCTGGAGTTAATTTTCAGAGGTGTAACATAATGTCAAGCATAAATGAATGAAAATATGCTATTGATAATATGAGTATCATTACATGGCAAAACCTGATAATTTTTCTTTTAAGTCGATAATTATGAAGTTAATGGCACCTTAAGTATTGTTCCTTTTTGTATGAAATATGTATTTAATGGTTCGTTGGTAGCGAATGCATAAAGAAATGTGACAACTCAAAAGAAGAAAGTCATAAAAAAAGGATGTAAACAATTAAAAAGAATGTTCATAAAATGATTTTTCATGCTCATTAAAAGTTCACCTGCAAAAGCAATATGAAATGTTTCATGTAAATTGCCAAACATGATTGTAGCATCTTATAAATAAGGTATTCAATATAAAAAGTAAATTTTATCCCGTAAAAAGTCACAGGTAGGCATAACAGCTCAAAAAATTGCTGATTAAGCTGAATTTGTTGTAACTAAAACATTGAGACAGAAGTTGACTATTTGTGTAAAGCTATATGATCCCTTTCTTACCCACAAGTGTTGAAATGTCCAGAGCCCGCTAAGCACCACATCAGATAAGTACTAAATTACTATTAAGTCTGGGACAGTTTTAGATGAACATCTTGAAACTAAACAGAATGGGGGGAATTTGAGAACTGAACAATAAACTGTATTGGGATCAAACGCAAAATTATTCAAGATTTGTTTATAATTTAAGCAACTCATTTTGTCACATACTTTAGGGGAAGGGGAGGGGTGTCTGTTAAGAACTTGGCACGTGATCCTGATTTCTGATACAAGAATAAAACTATTCAATATTCGTGTTTCCTGAAGAATGGCCACGTGAAAAAGGTATCTTGGCAAATGGAGAATGATAACTTTACTCACAATCCTGGAGTCCAACCTCATCTACTGTGACATACAAAACCAAATATTTTCAGTCTAACAAATTATACAGTGTATTAAAAGAACTACAGTCAACAGAAATTATGGTAAGAGGAAAACCAGAGAACAAGCTCACTATCACAGACTAACAGAACCCTCTACAAGCATTAAGCCAAAATTCTGAGAATGAAAAATTATGCTGGGCTCAAACAAGAAATAACTGAAGATATTTTATGATTTCTGCCACTTCTCTTTTCTCACCACTTAGTTTTGGGGAATCAGGAGGGTATTAAGCAGTGAAAGTTGGTTTTGGTACAAGGAGAACGATGTCTGTTGTTTTAAAAGCAATACTTGCAGTTCGCTCATCTATGATTGTGGAAATGGAAGTTATTTGGCAAACGTTGCACATACTAGGACTACTATCATAGAATATATCAAATAAACACAACCAAGTGAACCAACAATTAAGTAACACAATATTTCATATTCTTGGGGTGGGGCTGCCAATAAGCAATAAGTCAAACTTTGTGGAGTTTCAACGCCCAAATGGAAAACAAAAACGAGTGATATACAAACACCAAGAACAGGAACAATCAAGTTCAATAGCATGATACCCATGATAACAAATCCAAAACACACACACAAAAAAAAAAAAAAAGACTAAAAAAGCAAAGAAAAATCCAGAAAGTAAGGCACAATAAATTGCACAAAAATGCGGTGCTACCTGAGCAGCAAACTTCTTCAGTCACAATTATTAGCTAGAAAGAAAAAAAAAAAAATTCGCGTAATTACGATATAATTTTTTTTTTTTTTTTGAGAAAAAATAAATAAAATCTTTAGTGCAGGTAAACTGCAAATATAAATCAACCCCTTACAGAAACTTCCAAAACTTTACAAATGCAATGAGATAAACATGTAAACGGTAATATAGTAAGACACACAGTTCCAACCTATCAAAATCCCCTCCCTTACACGGAAACAAATAACACATCTTGAAAACCCTAACAGACGACTCAACACTCGTCCGCGAGACAATTTTCCGAATTCAGAAGACAATAAGTCCAAACCTTTGCTGCGAATTTCGCAACATAAGTTAGCAGCGCGTCACAATTTCATAAGCAACAAGCAAATGCTTAAAGAGAAAATAAAATCCCTAGGAGGGGTACCATAAAGCACAACTCAACACAAATCACAAAAACAAACGAGACCCACAGAAATTCGAGCAAAAACAAACAATAGGCACACGATAACACGCGAATTCCCCAAAAATTGAATAGTCAAAGACGAAGGAAGAACAAGGAATCAGAAGTGGAACCTTCTTCTGCCAACCAGACGGAGCAGGAAGTTCCAACGACAGAGGTTCCTCCCCTGCACCTGCACCCGCACCAGCACCTACACCAGCAGCACCAACCTCCTTCTCCACTGAGCTCGCCATTTCCACCTAACAATTCCCTATCAAAAAGAAGGGAAGACAAAAAAAAATCAGAAAAGTGAGTAGGAGACACTGTACCAGAATTTGGAAAGGTAAAATAGAATTTGTAATCTGTGGAGTGTTGGATAATTTAAAAATAATTGAAGAAAATGAGGAGAGGAAGCCGAGAGAAATACTTGGACTTCGTTTTGTTTGGATTTCGGTGGTGTGTTGGAGTGGAATTGGGTCTTTGTTGTGTGTTTAAGAGAGAGAAAGAAAGCTGAATTGCAAGGTGTTGAAAGAAGAGGAGAGAAGGGATTGAATTTATTTATATATTTAATATTTATTTATTAATTAATAATTATTAAAAATAATTAAAATTAAAATTAAGCAGAGAAGAGACACGTTGGGGAATGGGAAAAAAGAATGGTTCTTACACACAAAGAGAACTTGTTTGTGAGTGGATATTTGTGTTGGTTACTTCCAACCGTCACAGCCCTACTATCTTTTTGCCACCTGTCCCACGAATCCTCCTTTTAAGATTTCTTTATTTATTATTATTTCGGCTTCCAATGTATCTTTTTCAAAACTACATTTAGACGTGTCTATTAACCGGTGATTAAAACATTTTTTTCTAAATTAAACTAGTCAACTTGTTAATTAGTTGAACCGTAGTTTAATTAATGTTAATAAAATTATTACCATAATAAAATATATAAAATAATATTATAATTATTGATGTTAAAAACTAAACTAAAATATAAATTTATAAGTTTTAATATTTAAAATACATAAAGTAAAATAAAAATATCGTTATACTTAAATTAAAATTTTTAATAATAGTTATCAATATTTATTAATAATAATAATAAAATCAAATCAAATAATAAATGTTTTAGGTTGACTTTTATTTATACGTTAAAATAATATATTATTCAATATGTTTTAATTAAACTGGATTGACCTAATTTTATCCGTTTATGACCAATTTTCTAATTTTTTAATCGGATTTTCTTTACTTCGGTTTTGTGGTTTCCTTATTAAACATCGTTGACACCCAATATTTACATTTTTTATTAAATAATATAATAATTGTATATATAAAAATTTAAAATTTTATTATTATTATTGTATTATTAAAATAAATTATCTAGATAACTGAATGGTTATATACATATATCTTTATAATTTATTAGTTTACCTATTTTTGTGATAAGCTGAGTTGGATTTTCAAGACAAAATTACATTTTTCAAGTATTGTTTAAGTATTTTTTGTTAGAAAGTCAAGAATGTAATCCTTTTTGAAAATTTTAATCAAATAATTATATTTTTTTCTATTTGACCTATATTACTACGTATATAAATCGAATAAAGACTAGATGAATGATAAAACTATAAATGACAGAAGAATAATTAATATTGTTTTAAATTTTGAAAATAATAATTAAATAAAAAAATTCTTTCAAAAATTCCACAGTTAAAAGAAAAAGTAATATATTTTATTAAAAAGTGAGAACATAAGTTATCTGGTAAAATTTCAAATAATAAAATATAATATTTTTATTTAGTTAGAACTGTTCTCTTTCAATCCAAATAATGATTTCACATGGAGAAAGAATATAACAATAAATATCGGATTTGTTTGTCCTAATTCATTAAAATAATTTTTTTTCCAATAAATGCATTACATTAAAATTTAAAACAACAAAATCATATTTTCGTAAGACAAGTAAAAAAAAACCACCAGTGTTTCCTTTAACTAAATCATGTCCCAGTGGTAGATGCGGCAAATGTTGCAGCTCATTTAGTTGTTATAACAAATACATTCAAATAAAAAAAATTTGACTTTTAGTTTTCCAAAGAGAAGAAAAATATTAAGAACCTTCACTGTCTGCACCATAAATTGGAACAAAAAATTGAATGACCTCTTTGAAGAAAATAAAGAAAATTGAACAAAATCTCAGTCAATTTTAATAATAAAATTAGTAACATACTATAATTTTGTTCATATTCCATATAATTAAAAGAAAAAGAAAGTGTGAATTTGTTTAATTAATTTTTTTCTTAAATGTATTAAAATGACCCACTTGATTATAGTGTTTATATATTTTATTGCTAACTTTCTGGAGCTAACTTTCTCGAGGCAGGCATCAATATAAAGTTGATTGCATATAAAAGAATAATTAAATAAAAGTTGTCTCTAATAAGACGGAAATGTTATGTATATGTAATATATTCGAAGAAGACAGTTTTAATAATGGGGACACCCGTAACTTTGAAAGCCATATGATATGCAAGATTTTCCCAATTTTAGCATTTTTTATGAAGGGATTTGACTATGTATAATATAATAAGTTCATAAATAAAATAAGATAAACCCAACCCTAAAACTTTGATGGGGTCTAGTTGAACTCCTATCAAGCCCAAATTGTGAAACATTAATCTAATCAATTAAGACCAAATTAATAAACACATCAACTGAAAATCAAGGCCCAAATAAATTCCTCGAAAAGGGCCCAACCACAAATCATGCACAGCTTAGCTTCAAATTCTACAAACCTATCAAAATATGCAAACCTAGAAATGCTTTAAACAGATCATAAGGTTCATTGACCCATCAAAATAGGAATAATAGAACCCTTCCATCAATGTTATTGAAAGGAATACTTACTGATTGAGAAAAAGAAAAAAAAAGAAAAAAAGAAGAGAAAGTATATGAAAGGGTTTAGAGAACAATAACAAATTTTGGGGTTGAGAAAAACAGGGTTTATATTACGAAAACAAAACAAAACAAAATATTTAAAAAGAAGAAGAAAAGAGTATATTTAAGAATTATGGGTGATGTAAATAACAATTACCATAAATAAAACCTGAAAAGTTTGGTAGCTTTTCGGTCCAAAGAAACTGTGGATTTTATTTCTATCTCCAAAAATGGTTCAGGCTGACACCAAAAATTCTAGCAAATGATTCAACTCCCAGAGAGTGTTACACCCCGTGACCATAAAACAAAAAAATAATACACCCAAAAAAAAAAACATCAGTTATTACGCTTAGAACTTATAAAAATCTCATTTTATCTTTTAAAGTTACCTAAGACAACATTTACTTCGATCCTTATGTAAAAAAGCGCAGCTATTTTAGTTGTTAAAATGATAATCATATAGCATAAAATACCGATATTTAGTAACTTAAAAAAAAAATAATGTTTTTAAAATTTCAGAAACCAAAATTAATCACGTTAAAACTTGCTTATTTACTATTTTTAAAAATAATTTTCAGTTTTTTATAAATTAAAAAACTATCTGTTTTGCTCAAACAGTTTAAAAAAATTGTTTTTTAGTTTTCAAAAACTAAAAAATTAAAATTGATAGAAGGTGTTTTTTTTTAACTTTCTGTTTTTATTAATAGGAATTAATATTTTTATCAATAATCATATTAAATTAATTATTCTCATTATTATAATTTTTTATAACTTTTTGTTATATTTTTGTATTATTTTCTTTAATTTAAAATAATTTTTAAAATTAGACATACTTAATACTTTTTTTTCTAACTTTTTTTAGAAACTTTTTTTTTTCAAAATTGCACATATAAGATGTATATATTTTATGTACTCGTGGTTTCTAAAGTTTAACCAAAAAGTAACATGATTTGCACATTGGGTATGTAAGAAAAAAAAAAAGGACATGACTTATTTTTTTTAACTATCTTTTGTGTTTAAAACATTTTATAATTTTTTTGTTTATACGTATTCTTTTTGGAGTGTATTATTAGACATTAAATTTGGACAAAGCAGGAAAACGACTCTAGGTCACGGTGTAAAGCTGAGCTTGAAGGTGGGATCAATATGAATATGAAAAAGATAAGGTTTTTGCTTTTGCAAGAGAATTCAAACGAGGCCATGAGATGCTGTTATGTAAAGAAGAAGCATTTTCCCTTTCAATTATGTTATGTGGCTCGTTCCTCATATTTTAAGTTTTATATAAATTATAGAATTCATTTTAAAAGATAAATTAACAAATTTATATGTAACAAATTCAGTTTAGACATATAATTTTTTCTACTCATAATTTTAATCAATATTAACTCTTGTAACGAAAAATACATTAGAAATTAATATTTATTCTTTTTGGATGAGTAGAGATCGACAAAAAGATATAAAGAGACTATTAAATTCGATTTTGAATCGTGACTTTAGGATAGTTAAAAAGTAGTTTCTTTGAAAAAAATTAGATACTCATACAAAAAATATTTTGACGTTTAAGTTAATTTTTAGATAAGAGTAGTATATTTGAAAATGGGTGATAATATGATATTTACTCTCTAATCGAGTCTCTTTATATAAGATAAAATAATCTAAAAGATAATAACTAATAGCCTAAAAGATAATAACTGATATAAGATATTATAATAACATATAAAACATAAATAATAAGATAATGTATAACAAAATAATTAAGTAAATAAAGTGATTTTAATGAATTTGAGTCGGATAGGTACACAAGCTCAGAGGCCGAGTTCTTTTAGAATAGAGCTCAAACAAGTTTAAGATTGAGTTAATCATTTTATCACGTAGACGAGTAGTGTTCAGTTTGAACATATCTATCCTATAAACTATTATTCGGTTAAACCAAAATATATTCGTAAGATTTACTTAGTAGAGTTTATTTATTTGTCATGCAAAATTAATGGGTAAAAAATTTTATGAAAAGGAGAGATGAGCTCGGTAAGGCTCCCATCAACCCTCAAACTCAAGAAGATCGTTCTATAAAGATTAAACAACCTCGAGTGATACTTCAAGAGGAGACCCCCTCATTCCCTGAGCTAAAACAAAACTTTGTCGATCAAAAGTGTGCATGTACAATAACTATGAAGTTACAAATGGTCTTGGTCATGAAATGTACAACGGTTAGTAAATTATGCAAATATTAAATTATTACTTTTATTAGAGTTTTTAGGATGTAGATTTTGATAAATTATATAGCGAATAAGGTATATATACTCGTGTGATCCAGCTAGATGTA